ATGGGTCTTTAAGCGACATAAATTCGTTTAGAAATATGTTTCCATAATGATGGTTATTTGTTTTTCGCTAACCGTTCTGAAGTTCTCTCTCTCAGTCGTATTGATTATATCAGTATACTCTTCAATTAAACATCCAATCCTGTGAAGTGGAATGAAACTCTTTTAGAATATAAAAGGATTCAAAACTTATAGTGAAAAGTATTTACGGCCAAAGTAACCAGCTCTATTACCGCGTAAAATTTAACGATTACATCCTCAGCCGCTAAGCCAATCTATGAACCATTAAATAAATCACTCTTATTTAAGTGTCTAGTCGTTCTAGCGCTTTAGCACTAATTGGGGACACTTTTCGCTCACACGCACTACCACTACATTCAATATTCTATGCACACAACGTCCAACTCACATGTCGATTTTTACGGAGGGAGGAAACCGGAGAACCCGGAGAAAACCCTCGTAGCATAGGAGAGAACAACACATCAAACAAACTCAATCAACATGTGGCGACCGCCAGGCTGTCTGAGGACGATCTTCTCCCTTAAGGTGTTCTCTACAAGAAATTAAAATGTTTGCAGGTTCTGCCCTTTAGACCACAAAATAAACAGTTTTGTGTGTTATGTATGTCACACTACTTGTGAATTTGATCTTGCGCCATGACGCAACAAAATCAAATATCCCAATGTTCTCTGTCAGAATCAACAAAATAGTGCAATAGTACCCAGAAGTCTTCACGGCACTATCCAATAGTCCTTTGCGGGCATATGATGATCCAAGTGCAGTAAATGTTCTTGTAAGGAAACTTTGCCAGGAAAGATAGGAAAGCATAGGTCTACTTCTCGCGGATCGATATTGCTTATGTGACTGATATCGTATGATCGCACTTATACAGGCTTATAAGCAACCGACTAGGAATAAATATATTTTTTCATTTAAAAGATTGCCTGTTGAAGATTTAAATCTAATAAAAAATGAATAAATTGTTTTTCTATGTGGATAAAACGGGATTCGAACCCGCCAAAAGAAATTAAAAAAACAAAA